GACAACCATTTATAAATTAAGTTGCTCCAAATATATTGTATTCATAGTTTTTTTTTTTTTTAGCTTTTTCATGTTTTTGCCGTTAAAGAAAGAAATGAATTAATTCTATTGCCTAACAAGAATGTTAGGCAATTCACTTTTTTATTTTGAACTGCAGTAGTTTATTTCAACACATGATATTTCAATCAGGAGAGGCTTCATTTAGTTTGAACATTTATTGACACATGTCATATGATAAATGTTAAGTCTTTGGCGATTAGACCCCGATCCTGAAATCGTATATCTAAAGGGGGAAATGCAGCCGTGAGCATATAGGGAACCCCCCCGGGGTCTAGACACTGGTGATGATGCTGAAGATCTGGATTTGATGAGGAGATGGGATGAAGAGGGGATGTGATGAGGTCTTTGGATTAGCTCTCCTGGCACTGGATACAATGAAAGGAGGTGGATGGGGAGGAGGCGGGCGGCAGCATGAAAACCTGGAATCACAGCAGGAGAGAGGAGAACCATTTTAAAGTTTGGCTGCAGCACGTTGATTGGCTGCTGGAGAATGAGGTGAAATGTAATAGGTTAAAGAGAACGCCTGTGATGAGCTGATTATATGCAGCTGTGGAGTGAATGTATATACACCCAGTCTTCCTGAAAGAACTTGCGCTGAACTTCATTTAAATCTTGAGAAAAAAAAGATAAATAACACAAATTTAAATTGCCCCACAAATAATAAATAAACACATTAGCCATATAACCATGGGAAATGGGGACACAGCAAATAAATGCTCGAAGTTAGAGGCCTTTGCATATTTAAAACCAGTGCCAAATATGTAAAATCTGTAACGTTTTTGTGAAACTACAGTAACAAACTCTCAATGGCCACCAATCTGCAGATCACACACATCCATTTTACAAAAGATGTAACAAAGATGTTTACACTGCCGACAGTCATTATTTTAAACGGTATGAACACATTTAACGCAGAATGCTTGCTCATTCATTTGTTTCCCTGGACCACGATGGTTGCCATCGTATGGTCAGATCCTGGGGTGGACCGGTCACTGATGAAGGCGATATTCATGTCCTTTTGAAGCACATTAAATAATAGGTTAGCGCATAAGAGATAATGAATTAGGTAATTGCATTATTTTTAAACTGTCACTCTTAGCTAATTCAGAGCCATTATTACCAGCTGCTAAAGCAACGCTGGTATTGCTTTCACCTATTGAGTCTGCATGTGTGTGTCGTCATGGCAATGTGGTCCTGAAGACACACAGAGGTGCTTTTGAGTACTTTGCCTAGTGTTTCAATGCATGTGGACAGATTTTGTCAATCACAACCGTGCAAGTTTTAGTGTATCTTCTCATCTTTTTTGCTGGTTCCATAAAATACTAAAGTGAAGAGCAGAAGCCACTTTTCAAATGTTACACTATCATTTTCCCACGCTATTGCTGTCAACACCGATCCATGCTGAACGTTGCTAAGATATTATTGATTGGGGTGTGGCCAAAAGTGCAATATGCTTCAAAATGTAACTGACAAAGAGCAGTGCTTTTGTCCTGTGACACTGTGCCCGTGGATTTTATGTTATTTCAAGATTTTTAATTACGTCGCTAAACTCCTTGAAAAGGTCCTCTTCCTTTTCTCCAAGGTACACAACAAGGCAGCGGATGGCTAGTTCTCTGCGTACTTCAATTGTATTGTGCTATTTTTGAAAAATGAAAAAAAGAGAAATGACCTAAATGAATATATTCTGAATGGGTGACTGCCAACAACTTGCATTTCAATGACAACTCTAAATAACGATCCTACCTCAAGAAGCATGTCCTTGATCTGCTTCACCAATACATTTTTTTAATCAAAAGTTATATCACAATAGTAACCAAAGTATTTTTACACTCACAGTAGCCTCTACTACTGTACTTTGTATCCTCTCACAGAACTATTCACAGTTCAAAGAATGCTAATTGTGGTCAAACAGCAATTTGCCTATACAGTGCAACTACAAGGCTATCTACTGTATTTGAATGACAAAAGATGACACTCACCTTAAAAATGTTCTTTGTATATTTCTATTTGTCTTAACTGTCGGAACTTGTCCAGGCATGTTAAGTGGGAGTGGACTTGAAATCCTTAACTCAAGGTGGAGAACAATTAAGTTATCAAGCCAATTGCATTACTTACTACAACTTGAATTTTGTTTTAAGTCAATTAACGCAGAAATCCGAGTTTAAATTACACACAATATTAAGTTGATGTAATTACCAATTATTACGTCAACACAACTTATAAATTAATGTTTGCAACTTAAAATGTTTATCTAAATCAATTAATTCAAATGTGTATCTTGCAACCATGCATTTAATTAAATGTTGGTAAAAGGCCCCCGAATGACTTTTTAGAGTGCACTGAATGTATTTTGGAGTTTGGAGGGGGTGTGAAGGGAGGCAGGGAGGATGACACTAGGAGAAAGGTCATGTTCTTGTATGTCTTTGTCTTGTTTCTTCCGGTTTTCCTCTTTCAGACTACTGGAAACTCCTGTTCCTCCTCAGCTCACTTCACCTCTCTTCATCTATTTCTCCCTCTGTCTCTCATTCTGCTTTTGCCCTTTAAAATACGGAAGAAAGAGTTCTATAGAAATAGCATTCTTTTACTGTATGTGTCATTCTTGAAAATGCCGAAGGCCACACCTTATCATGCAAACACACACAAGCACATACAGTACATGCCACATTGCAGATATCCAGAAATGAGAAGCACTTATTACAACCCTTTCTTCTAAAGATTGATGATGATAAATGATGCATCAGTCACATTTTGGATCACCAGGAATTAGACCTATGTTTAGCTTTTCTTGGTCTTTCTGTTTTGGCAGTTGCATAATTGAAGCTGGTAGCTGGCACATGAACATTAATGTGTTTTAAAAAATATATCTTTTCATCTTATTGTTTTTTACCTGAGCGCCTGCGGCATGTGTCAGAGTTACACTCAACAGATTGGAATAATTGCAGCAGACTTTGAGACAATCAATGCCCAACAGCCACTGCAATTTCCAAATTAGTAGACCATCCCACACCTGAGACATGGTATTGAACATTTTTGCCTGAGGTTTAGCTGTTGAAAAATTATCATTTGATAAATGGGGCGAAGCCTGCGAGCTAGTTCAGGCTGTCAACTCGAGCACTTATGCTGCATTCATACATAACTCCCCTTGCCACTCTGCAACCAACCAAACAGAGCCTCCTTAATATGCCGCTCTATTTAACCTGCCAGTTCTCTCTCCATGCATTGCTTGCTGCTGCTATTGCCGCAGCAAGCTTTACGTCACTGCTGCTGCTTGCCTGCCCCACCACCACCCCAGCTTCCACCTGTAGGCTCGGGGGTTAGTTATTTGATCATCACTCATCGTGCTATGTATATCTATGGAGTGATGATGCCCGAGCCATAGTCGCCAAACTCAACTATATGCTGCTTCTAATAAACACGTTAAAGAAACACGTGAGTTCTCTGACTAAACTAAACATTGTCGGCAAACATAATCCGTTAATTACTTGGATCCGAAAATAGTAAATACAAAATTAATTACGGGAGGGAAGAGAAGGAATGATATGATCCTTGAGCAACGGGAATTAATGCTTTTCCAAACAGACTTTCGCAAGGAGGAGACCGCTGTTTGTAAAACAAGAAGTCAATGTTGACTTATTTAAATTTAAGTCCCATGAAAAACATTCTTATTTTAGGGGCAAACCATGATATTTTTTCTACACATTGCTAACCACCCGTTTTGTTTTGATTTAAAGACTTAACCACCTGTTAAAAACTGCCTCTATATCTGGGGGAAAATATGCTTCTTCTGTATGGGAACATAGGAGACAGGGTTGACCAGAGTGACCCTGAAACTTGATATTTATTAATGTCTCCGTCTATTTTCTGCCCCCCATGTTTACCATAGAAGGCCACAGTGAGCTGGGTCTCTTAAATCTTGTTTAGACTGTCCTGCAATACCAGTACACACATGCAGTTATGTGAAAACACACAGCCACAATCACCAAAACAGGCACACACACTGCCCACACATTCGCAACATTTACTGAAATGCATCAATTATTTGTATCAAAGTTTCCATTCACACATGCTATACCTTTTTTCTATGAGTCAGATAAATCACCCACAGCCTGTGCATCGTTATTCATTATCTTCTTTCTGGGCTTGAAACATTTAGAGGTGAATTCCACAGAAAATTATCTTTAAATTATGTTTTATGGCCCATAAATGGCTTGCAGACCTCATCCTTTTCTCATTGACCGCTGAATAAAAAGCAGAAGAATACTGAGGTAGATATGGAATCATCATGGGAATATTTTACTATTATTGTTTAGAGGGTTAGGGTTATAATAGGATATATTGCAGTCTGAATTTCTTCTGTATTAGTTGATCCAGTTCCATTATATTGTGACTTGATCCAACTTTTTGCACAGCAACTTAAAGGGGCCTTATAAAGTTCATTTTCAGATTCAAAATGGTATTATGTACCAACAGGTTTACATGCTTTTATGTTCAAAAATGTCTTTATTTTTCTCATACTGCCTGTTCTGCAGCACCTTTGTTCACCCTCTGTCTGAAACCAGAGCTCAGACTGGTCTGATTGGTTAGCTGGCCGGGTCTGTTGTGATTGGTCAACCGTTTAGAGATGTCCCGACACAAAGCCAATCAAGTACAATGTGATGGAACGCATGTTACATATTGATGTCACTATGTTACAGAAGTAAACAAAGGAGTCCAATGGAGATACATATATATTGACTCAGGTCAGGCTATAAGTTGAAACACAGGCCCTACATGTGACCAATGTAGCAGACACAAGCCTCACACATGCCTTGCTTTCTGGGAAATCTTTGACACACTTAGCATGAAGACTGAAAGATGGACAATAGCAGCACCACACTTCAAATGCCCACCAACATCCATCACACTACTGTTGACATAGTGACCATTTATTGATGTTAAAGTGCAACAAAAAGCAGATTTATCATACATCAGTCTACATCCTGGTGAGCAGCTGGCTGGCTGTGAGGCCGGCCTCCCTGTCCTCCATCCCTGACTCCTCCACCAGCACCTTCCTCTGGAACTCCTGTAGTGTGAAGACAGAAAGAAATCAATGATTATTAGTCCCTCCCACAGCATTTGACTGACAGGAGGACTCGACAAACTCCACTGCCAAACCAAACATAAAGCAACGATTGCTTGTCTACACATGAGGACAGTTTTGTAACCGAGGAGCTACTGACACCCATGAGTCATGAACTTGAACTGCCACCGCTCTGCAACTCGATATTAGCTTCCAGGAACCTTGATAGCACGTCTCAGATCTTTAATTAAGATTTCTGCAGGTGTTAGAGTGTGTTTACCCTGAATGTCTTCAGTCTTGCCAGTCTTTCTTGCAAGATCTTCTCCTGGCTGGAGGTCAGCTCCTGTACATGAGTCTTCCACTGCTCCTCTTTCACCTGAAACACAGAGGATACACACAACACTTTACATCCAAATGGAGTTATTCAAAATATGCATATCAGCAATAGATTGAATGCCAGGTTTTGGTTTGGTCTACTCAAAGTTTGAGTGTCTTTCTAGTAGTCGTTTTGATTAAATAGCCCTCAACTTTTCTTTTTGGGTTTAGCGTTAGCGCCCGTTATATCCAGGACAAATCTTTGATAAGCCTTTTGTACACTTCTATTCCAAAAGCATAAGAACAGGGAAGCATTTACCAATTTAAGAGCTAGATATATTCCCCTCAGAAGTCAGTAAAGAGTGGACTGGACTATGTCATTGGGTGGCCAGAGATGTTACTCCAGATGAAAGCTTTGTTCGATGGGTAAATAGTAGATGAACGATGATACACGTCTGTCAGTGCTGGGAGAGGGGATCCCTCCGGGGTTGTTTTTGTTTATATCATTTTACTCAATCATTTTTTGTCCACCACAAGTATGTAAGTAGAGGGCCATGATTGATTTGTAGTCATGAAATAAACCAATGGTGAAAAAAAACTCTCTGTTTCCACTCTCTAGTAATGTGTGTACCTTTTGTGAAGTATATGTGAGATGCTTACTTTTTGATCTCTTTTATGGTTTATTTAAATTGTATCCTGCAACCTATGTCATGCTCCATATTAACAAAGAACAGAGCTACGGACTAAATTTTGCAGCTGCAAACCAACTTTGGAAAAGAAAAAGAAAGAAACTTGCCTCAAACAAATCCTCTCTCACATCTTAAAGCTCTGTAGAGCCATTTTAACGTAACAAAGTCTCCCTGGTACTATGATTCAACAATACATACATTCTGCTGGGCTGCACCTCTGAGCCTCAAGTAGGCGTGTGTGTGTGTGTGTGTGTGTGTGTGTGTGTGTGTGTGTGTGTGTGTGTGTGTGTGTGTGTGTGTGTGTGTGTGTGTGTGTGTGTGTGTGTGTGTGTGTGTGTGTGTGTGTGTGTGTGCGTGCGTGTGTGTGCGTGTGTGTGTGTGTTGAAAAGTTCTGGCTGTTTTCCCCTGACCTCACATTAGACTGAGAATCACTCTCTTGGATCCAGTTTCCTTCTGTGTGTTTGTATGTATAATTTTTCACGAGAATGTGAGAGAAAATGACATATCTTTTATCCTTGTGTAGGAAAGACTATAAACAGTACAAATGCGATACATGTGAGATGTCAGTGCCTCTCCACCATCAGTGCCTGTCATCAATTAACGTGTGTGTGTGTGTGTGTGTGTGTGTGTGTGTGTGTGTGTGTGTGTGTGTGTGTGTGTGTGTGTGTGTGTGTGTGTGTGTGTGTCGGGGGAGCAGAAATGTGCGGAGGAAGTTGCCATTTACTTTAATGTCAGTTTCAATACCGAGACATGCTGACACATATGGTGTGAAGGTGAAAGCAGTTAAACCGTTACATCCCCAATTACATGCTGAACACACACACACACACACACACACACACACACACACACACACACACACACACACACACACACACACACACACACCCTTTTAGGCGTACAATCAGGACATTCTTTCCAAAAAAGCCTTGAGTTGAAAATGGGCATTTGGACACTTGCACACTTGTTTGTCTTCTTGGTGTGTGTAAAGATGGAGTAGCATACTTTGAACAAATTGCGCTTGATTGGCGATCACTGACTAATTGACAAATTGTGTTAATACTAGTTTTGTGCCTCTGATCCAATCACAGCATCATGGTTGCAATTTGCCATCTGGCCGGTGTTGTTGGTTGTGGATTCGAGTGTCATTGTTTAGAGCAGTCAGAGCTGCAGAGGTGTGGAAACACGACAGAAGGAAATATTTAGAAAGGGCTCTACAATACCTCCGGCTCCCTTGCCTGAGGTAGGTAAAATGCCAACATTTGGTGTTTTAAAAAAACCAACTATCTTTGTGCTAACCCATCACGCAGAAGTTAAGATAGTTCACTGAATAAATAAAAGCTTTGACCCGCTTAAGGAGCTAAATGAAGGGTTCATGGAAGTCATTGCAATTAAATCTCGGGCACAAATATCTGCATCAAATCAATCCAATAGCTGTTGAGATATCGCCATCTTGGCAGGGCCCTTCCTCCTGGCTAATCCCAAAATTGAACATTGTTAGTGGAGCATCAGAGCTAACAGCTAGCTACCTGAGACAGCATTTATCACGCCCGTAATAATATGTCATTTTAATAAATGTAATTGGAAATAAACTGGTGAGTGAGTGAAAATTCACACAAGCTTGTTCCTGCTGTTATTTTAAGCATTTTAACATGGGGTCTAAAATAGCTTTGTTTGCAGATGTACGCCTGGGCAATCTGGGGTTTTAGTGGCCAGATGAATTGGTGGAATCCTGTGCAGCATTTAGGTTGCCAACAACGATTTCAGCTCGGCTCTAAAGAAAAGGATATTTTATCACGATGCGTTCCCTTTGCAAAAGAAACCCTGGCAGTAATTACACAAACATTTTGTTCTTGCTTATAAAACCCATAGACACAATATTAATGCAATCCAACCAATATGCTTTAGTTTCTTATGAACATTTGATGAAAACACCTCAGGATTAGAATTCATTTCATCTTACTTTTGAGTAGTTCTGTTTGGACTTTGAAAAAAGCAATCATCCCTGACCTGAATGTTAGGTTTGACACATTACACAGCGTGTCTGTAATTACTCTGGCTTCACTGTGGCATTCCAGCAGTGTGTGTGTTTAGGTATCTGGTACGCAACTAGTATAAATGCATATGTTCAGAAGTCTGTGTGTTTGTCTGAGTTTAAGTTGGGGTTCAGCTTCAGCGGATAGTACATTCCAAACTGAGGTGAGAGTGACTGTCCCATCCTTCAGAGTTGATGTTGTCATCAGCTTCCTGTGTGTGTGTGTGTGTGTGTGTGTGTGTGTGTGTGTGTGTGGTGTGTGTGTGTGTGTGTGTGTGTGTGTGTGTGTGTGTGTGTGTGTGTGTGTGTGTGTGTGTGTGTGTGTGTGTGTGTGTGTGTGTGTTTGTGTCTGTGTGCAGCGGAAACACTGACAACAACCCGTATTGACCTCACACACTTTTGTCAGGAAAGAGGGAGCTGCTCAAAACTCCCACAGCTGTGTGTGTGTGTGTGTGTGTGTGTGTGTGTGTGTGTGTGTGTGTGTGTGTGTGTGTGTGTGTGTGTGTGTGTGTGTGTGTGTGTGTGTGTGTGTGTGTGTGTGTGTGTGTGTGTGTGTGTTTGTGTGCAGCGGAAACACTGACAACAACCCGTATTGACCTCACACACTTTCGTCAGGAAAGAGGGAGCTGCTCAAAACTCCCACAGCTGTGTATGTGCGTGTGTGTGCGTGTGTGTGTGTGTGTATGTGTGTGTGTGTGTGTGCATTCCATATCCATGAGGATGTGCATCTGTTTTGACAACAGTGGATGTGTATTTGAATGAACACATCACATGAACACACTCGTGCTTTTTAATGCCAAATGTGTGATGGTGCTGCTGTAAAATGTGTGTGTGTGTGTGTGTGTGTGTGGTGCCGTGAAGTGTGAGTGAGGTTTGCAGGGAATGATAAGCCCGGCAGCCTTGACAGAGGGCCATAGTTTTGTCATTTCCATGGAAGTGAATTTGATGTATCCTTATGTGGTGTAGTGATGACATTACCACTCATCGAACTCAGTGTCACGCTGCTGCCTTTCTGCTGATTCCACATGCTGATTGTGAATAACTACAGTAGCTAGATTTCCAGAAAGGATTAACCAGTCGAAGCAGAAATGGAAGAGAAACTCTATTAATTGTAATTCATTTATGAAAAGAAGTAACTCACAATTCTGCTAGCTGAGGCTAGGAGCTAACTCCTTATATCTAACCTGGTGTAAAACTACATTTTTGTTTTCTTCTCATCAGAGCGTCACCTTAGTAGATATTGCAGACAACCAGGACAATCTGTCATTTCAACAATCAGCTCACTTAACTACTGTTTGACTGTCAAGAGCTGCTGCGGTGTGGGTGTGAGCCCAATACACTGCCAGCGCTGATGGGAAACAAGGCTGCTCAAATAGGTCATATGGTAGTGTGAGAGGGTTGCAGGGGTTTGCATGTTTGTGTCTACTGCATGTGTCTCCTCTTTCTGTTTAACACACTGCACACAAAGTCCAAGAATTCTGTTTAGGTGTGTGTGTGTGTGTGTGTGTGTGTGTGTGTGTGTGTGTGTGTGTGTGTGTGTGTGTGTGTGTGTGTGTACACCTTCTTGCTATCTTCTATTTCTTGGAGTCTCTTTTTTTCCAGCTGCTCCCTCTCCTGTTTCCGGCGGGCCTGGAAAAAAAAATTCTTTATTTTATTAGTGGAATGTTACAACTTTGAGTTTTGTAACATGTAGCGTCTGTGTCTCTTACCCTATCCTCCTGTTTGCCTCTGAAGTTGTTTTCTGAACCTCCTATTCCGTCTTTTCTCATATTTTCCGACAGTCCCAGGAATTCATAGTCCTCCACTTTACACAAACCTCTCATTGACTAGAGACAGAGAAACATCCGATCATCAAAAGTCATACCTGATACTGTACGTCTCCCTCCTGGATTCAAATGTATTGAGCCTTTGTCTCTGCACGTATAAACATCGGCTTTATTTGCTGCCCTGTATTCAACAATAACTATGATTGTTTTACAGCATTAAATGATGCAATTGACAGTCATTGCATCAGATGACAGTTATTACTTAAATAGAGATCAACTGTTTCATTTTGCAACTTATCGTAGTATAAATAACCCTCTTACTGAAGGCTCTAACAACTCTAACAGAAAACTGTCTTCAAACCAACAAACGGTAATATCCTAGAGCGGAAGAGACGCATTATATTAACCAAATCAAGAGTTGGTGGCTTAAATTGAGAAAAAGGGGGAACTAGCACTATCCAGATTTGCAACGGTGATAGAGAACTTTCCACACAGATATGCATCAGAATTGGAAAAGTTGAATACATATGCAAATATATGTTGATTTTTATAGTTTTCTTAATGAATTTGATCTTTTGGTAGTGATCTGAAAACATCAAACGTCCAATAGATTTGAAGATAACGTGATTGCATACATTTGGGTTGATAAACAAAAAAAGGAAAGGCAAAAGCCCTCATCCGGAGGGCAAAATTAAATATTTTAATAAGTTCAAAAATTATATGATTCATGCCCTCAGTCAGCAGATCTAGACCCACATATTTAATACAGATGCGGAAGGAATTGTGCAAATGAAATCGTTTCACTTGATGTTCACTTCTTGTCTCTTCTCTGAAAGGGTTTGGTTTCACTCAAGGACATTTTTTAAAGAATGATCCACCGGGTAAGCGGTTTAAAAACAGAAAATGTTTCATATTAGGCTTACTGTCAAGTTGTCCCAGCTTTTCAAAACATACCTTGGACATGGGAATACCCTGAAACCTTTTGTTGTGAGTCATCTTGATCCAGGACAAGTCTTCTGCTTGTGACACATACATATTTGCAAATTAATCTATGAAGTTTAAATGACCTTGAGGCATTCAAATGTATTCAAATCATACATTCTACAAATGTCAATGAAGAATTAATATTGGCTTTATTTCAATAAAAAACACACACAGACAAGAATTAGTAATACGGTGTAAATAAGATCTGATCAAATCAGATTAATGATTAAGGACTCACCTGTAGAGCAGAGCAGTGTCCACTGGACTGATCAATGTCTCATAATAAGCACAGATCCTTCCTGTTGTCTTCTCCAGTTTAAAGTCTCAACAGAGAGTTTCAGATTAGAGTTATAAAGGTTCTTATACAGTGACGAGGTGCAGCCTGTATGCTAGTTATTTCCACAGTGCAGTGACAGAAGTGCCACTGTCACACTAATATAGTGTCGCGGAAAGCATAATAATGGATAGTTCCGTATGAGACTTGCGTTCATTGCATCTGAATCTTTACCATTACCATAGGCCACACAGGAGCCATGTTTGTGACCAGATCTTGAAATCTTGAAAGGGATGTGCAAAATAGTCATTATACAGTCTTTAATGAACTATTAGTAGAGAATAACGAGTAATTAATATAGGCCTACTTTATAGGGATCCTATTAATATCTAATAATACAAATAATTTGAGCAGTCATGTAATGTTATGAGCGTTTTTTTGTTCCATCCGAAGAAAGAACAATATGTTAAAGTGAAAAGTTAATTATTTAAAATAAAAGTTTTCATTTTCTCACCTTGTTATTTTTCCTTCTTAGAGTGACACAAGGGTATTGATAGAACTCATGCCTACATGCTACATGCTACATACAATCTACAGCTAATCGGCAGTTAGCCTAGCTTCTCTCACAGTATTAACAAACAAAATCATATTTGTTATTCAGCTTTGCAGGCGATGCTCAGCTAAATATGTGAGTTTTGTTATTTAGGCCCTGTTTTCAGTCTATAGCCTCCTATGCTAATGTAGCTAACCAGATTGTGGCTTCATATATAGCGTAAAAAAATGTGAGTGTATTGGTGCATTTTCAGTCTTGTTACCTATCAGGATGTAATGCATGCGAGTGAAGTACCAAGTTTGGGTTATCTCACCCTTTTCTCTGCAATTAATAAGTCTCGTAGCATTTACAAAAAATGCAGCTTTAACATTATTCACATTTTGTTTTTTGATTGTTTTGAAGTTATGGAAGCATATACATATACACACACAGTGTTTCAAGATGAGAAATGTTAAATTAGTTGTATTAGTAAAGTACTAGACTTGCAATCATCTTATTTTGTTATCCTAATTGAGTCATAATGCTTACAGGGGCATCAGTGTTTGTGATGATGATGGTCACACCTATTTGGCTGGGTGTGGGAAAACTGTGTGTGATGCTGTTGAGTTTGTTTTTGTAAAAGAATCAGTGTAACAGTCTGATGATGGATTGAATGTTGCTTTTGGAAAGCACATGAGTTTATGCTGAGATTTCTCTGCATTTCCCCTCCAGGATCAATACAATTCATCATGTCCTTAATTAATGAACATGTCAGCAGGCTGCTACAGGGAGCTTGGCTGCCACATGAGCTTCAATGTTGATGGATCTCTTTAATAGATGTTCAGCGTGTTTTCAGGGAACTCTGTGAGAGCGCTGACACATTAATGACATAACAGTGCCGCTGCATCACATCAGGTCACGAACCCTCTGACTGATCTTTCTCCTTCACATCGTATATACAGTACATTACTTCAACAATTGAAACACATAAACTTTACTTAATTAAAACATGAATAGTTAAATCATGTCCAATAGGCTATGGGGTACAGTACACTAATGTTTAGTGCCACAGCATGATTTGATAATAACATGAACAGCTTGATTTCACCACTTACTGTATAAATATCAATATTTAACCACGTTATTTCCTCAGTGGTTAAAAAAAAACTAAAAAAGAGTGGAGCACAGTGAAAAACTGTTCTTGTGCTGCGTTATGAAACCTGCCAAGATAAAATCTGAAAGGTACATTATCTAATGTTTTGCCTGAGAATTAGCTCCAGACTGCGGGACAACTTGACTGGAAATCATCCTTGTAACAGCACATCTAAGGAATGTCGTTACACTTCAAGTGTAAAACCACAAAGAGCACTTGTGGCGTCTACATGTCCTGAAAAACACAGACAGGAACACTCGACCTGCTATCCCACATCACTTCACACACCCTCTCTACATTCAACAAGCTGTGATCTCTGACATTTGGTCCCTGAACATCTCCGACGCCCAGACATCACTCATCAGCCTTCTCATAACAGGAAAGAGCTCCCCTGAACAAAATATATAGAACAGTAATGTAGCAAAACATACACATTTTTTCAACACGTGTTAATTTAGAATGGCAGTGATTCATTAGAGGTTGGATTCTAGATGCATCTCCTCACCAATACTTCACATTGTTCAGGATATGATATCAGCTCCAAACATGGTCTTTGTATTCAGTCACTGTCACTGCTTCCCCTTGACTACTTCATGCTAATATATTTTAATCTACAGCTATTTACAAGTTTTTATTTGGCAGTGTGGGAACAAATGCAAAGAAATGGGATATTTCTGTATCTGTAAACTTTAAGTTCCAGCTACCGATTGGATGGCTGAATGAACTGGCTTTTCCTACATATTTGTGGACCACAGTGTGAAGAGTTGTGAAGAGTTATCAGTATCTCCATGGTCACAAGGAGAAGCACAGCCAGAATAAAATCAAGCATTGACACTAGAAGACCGCAGTCAAAGGCAGTACTCAGATGAACAGTCAGTCAGTATTCAATATCTGTACCCCAAGGACTTTTTTCAAACTACAATCATCTATATAGGAAAACAGGAAATGTCTCTCGGTTCAAGCCAAACCTAAAAGTCTCCATTGCTCAATAGTTTGACTGACAACATCACAGTCTCGGCTAAGTCAGCCAGGTAGCCTAGATATATATCCTCCAATTTTTCCCGGGAGATCCCAAGACGTTTAACACTGTCCTCCCAAGAGTCAGGACAGATCAGTCATTTCAGCAACTGCCCTTAAACAGGGACAACATTTTAGTTTAAATCAATGTAAAGTAGTTCAGCAGCAATATTAATTAGGACTTACTGTTTCAGATAAAAAGCAGGAAATCAGAAGACTTTTTTATTGAGTGATGAGTTCCGGATTTTCTCCTAAACCTAACCGTGTTTTTTCTTTTGCTATAAATTTACCAAACTTCATCATAAAATGTTTTGTAAGGATTTTGGCGCTTACAAATGATTTGTCGTAGGAGCATCAGATCAGAAATCACGCCCAGTTGATCAAATGGGTGGTTATAAACTTTTTTTTTAAGTTGTTTGGTTTTGGAGATCTTGTTGAAAACTTGGGAATTGACAGATAATCCAGCATGTTATAGGTGAGTCTGGATTCTCTTCACATCTGCCATGCCCAGAAACCCTCTAAAAAAGACCCGCCAAGGCCCCTTCAGGTTCATAGGTTGGCCCCATGCCTGCTTGGCACCATATCACTTTTTAATCCCACAGATCTAATTTGCCCTAAATCTTTGTGGGCTGCTGTGTGGTGACCTGGAGTGATTCTGTGAAAGCTCTTGTCATTAAGGATTTCTAACACGCCTCGTGTCTTAATGTCTGATCCCTCGGCCACTAAGTTGTGCTATGCAAGAGGATTAACTCTTCCTTAGTACCCATCGTCCAGCACAGGTTCAAGCTTCGGGGGACTCTACCCGCGGGACTCTCATTGTAGTGCAGCTGTCGATACATGTTTGGGTGTGTGAGCCCACAGAAGGGGACCGTAGGGGTCTGGAAATTCCTTCTTTGTCTTTTTAAGGTGTGTGCATGGATGTGTACAGATAGTGTTATATTGAGACAGAGGGCCCTTCTCCATTCTCTTTTTTGTGCCTCCTAATCTCCTTACACCTCCCCCATTCTGCCTATAACCTGGAAATGGATCTCGGCATAGGATGTCTTCATTTCTAAAATGCAGGAGAGAGGACAGAGAAAAGAAGAGATGAGAGAGGAGGCTTGTTTATTTAAGAAGGGACAGTGCATAATATTGAACACAAGTATTTTAGTTGTCCATCATGTGAAATTGCCAAAATTAGACCTACAGGCAAATTTGCATCTGCAGTCTCTGGCAGGATAGGAAAAAGTTAAGTAATATTGGGATTCATCACCAATGTGTATACCAGAACTGTATTTCATTCAGTTGATATTTGATGAGCTATTTCAGTCTTGACCAACTGCCATGGACACAAATTCAGCAGTAATTGGTTTTTCCGACAGTAACCTGGTTACTGTGGATAATATACAGACCATGCAATAAACCACTCTTGTTGTAAATACTTTCTACCAAATAAATGGTCCCCATAAACTGACATTGTGTGGAATATCCAGAGCACGTGAAAACTCTCTGTAAAACATTTTGTTTATGAGATGTAGCTGAACAAATAAAGTTAGTGTGTTTATGCTTTCTAGACAATTGTTTGACCAACATATAAATCTTTCACTTGTATGTCAGAGGAAGAATGTACATTATAGTCAAGACTGTCTAGGAACCAGACTCTGTGATTAATGACACCCTCTCTCTGTGAACCGTAGGGAAATTAATGATATTTCTCCTGGCATCCATCTGCCTTAGAGACCAAAGTGTTCAGTTTTTGTTACTTAAAAAGATAAACAAGAGGTTTTATGACCAAAACTATGGCACTCAAGATGTGAGAGAAAAAGACGAGGTATTATTTAGAGTGACCGGTTATGACTCCACTTCAACAGGGACTAAAATAACATTATGTCAGAGAGTTATGGGAACAGGACGGAGTGCTGTGCAAAGGATCTCGGAGAGCTCTCATTTCAGTATTTCTCCCTCGTCATCTGACAAAGAGACATGGGAAACTGGCCGGTCATGTAGGACATGCTACACTGTAAAAACACCTTAATACTTGTCTTTGTCTGATCCTAGAGTATCATGTGTCAAGTATCATAACAAGCTCAACAGTAGGGTAAGACCCCTTTAAAACATTGCAGTATTTAATGTTATTTTAAAGGTAAATCTCAGACGTATACGGTAGGAGGAATATACACTTTGGCTTTAACTGATATTATGGAGACGAGTGAGAACCACTAAATTCCCCATGAACCATAAAGTAGCAGCTTTACGGAAGTCCACCGGGATGTTTCATCCTGCGTTTACCCTGCATTAGTGCCATCAGACAGTCTGTTCTCACTTTACTGGTGTACATAGGCTTTCTGCACATTTCTATT